TATTACTTCTGAAGCTCTCTAATTTTTACATTGCCCTTTAAACCTGCAAACTGCACGTCCAAGTTCAGGGTTCTCCTCACAACTAGCAAGAGAAGGGTTAAACGACTGTGTTTTGATTTGTAGTATTGTGCCCTGACCCCTCCCCCTTGGCTTTCTGTGGCGACGGTCATGACATTGGGGTGTTATAAAAAGGCCTCAAAGATCCCCCCCTGCTCCGATAAAGAGGCTCAATGTCTGCAGGACATGCTTAACGTTTGTCCACTCCTGTTCTTTTCCTGACAACCCGCACGGCTGGAACATAGATGCACAGAGACCGGCACTCTGCTCCTCCCGGGAGCAATTTATGACAAAAATTAGCRTCAATTAGGAAGAGCAGAGTGTATTTTTTCAGTTACGTGTTGAACTGTTTACGTGTTGTTTGTGTTTCAGTTTAGAGTGGCAGRTTTTTTGTTGTTTGTTTGTTTGAGGGGAAATTTGTGCTTTTTTGTTGTTTCAAACAATTCTAGTGGARAAACACCATCTCCCTTTAGCTGAGTAGTTCTTTTATCTTCTGCTGATTTTCAGCCCCTTTCAGCTGTTTAGAAGTTGCTTTTTGGATTGTGTGGCACCATGTGGGAGTTCAGGTCAATGTCGTTCTGGCGGGCGGTGTTCGCCGAGTTCTACGGCACCATGTTCTTTGTCTTCTTTGGGCTGGGTGCGGCCCTCCGCTGGACCACCGGCCCCCTCAATGTTCTTCACGTCGCTTTCTGCTTCGGGCTGGCGGCTGCCACCTTCATCCAGTCCATYGGCCACATCAGCGGAGGACACATCAATCCAGCGGTCACTTTCGCCTACCTGATCGGCTCTCAGATGTCCCTGTTCCGGGCTTTCTTCTACATCGTAGCTCAGTGTCTCGGGGCCCTGGCTGGTGCTGCTGTCTTGTACGGGGTCACGCCCAGCAACATGAAGGGCAACTTGGCTCTGAACACAGTAAGATCAGCTAGAAATCGACATGACGATGTTTGATTTGAATWCCTCCAAAAGCTCACGTCCTTCCATGAATCGTTTCTGATTTTCTGCCCCAGCTGCAGCCGGGCATCAGCCWGGGCATGGCCACCACCATTGAGATCTTCCTCACCCTCCAGCTTGTGGTCTGCGTCTTCGCTGTGACAGATGAGAGGCGTAACGGACGCCTGGGCTCTGCCGCTCTGGCTATTGGCTTTTCTGTTCTCATGGGACATCTTCTAGGGGTAAGAGTCAACCTGCRGTATAAAAATCTTACAACAGCTCTTGAGCTTCGCATGAGGATAAACGTATAAACTGTGCAGCWCCTCAGATCATGTCAGCTTTGAACTGTTTTCTCTTCTTGTTTTGCAGATGTACTACACTGGAGCAGGAATGAATCCTGCCAGGTCCTTCGCCCCYGCTGTCCTCGTCAGGAACTTTGCCAACCACTGGGTAAGATCCGGAACCGCTTTTGCAAATTGTGGCCGTCAGCTTCGTCCACCCTTCACTGCTCTCTGCTTTCTCCCACCCCCAGGTGTACTGGGTGGGGCCCATGATTGGTGGAGCTATAGGAGCCCTGCTGTACGACTTCCTGCTGTTCCCCCGTATGCGTGATCTCTCGGAGAGGCTCGCCACGCTGAAGGGCACCCGGTCCCCAGAGGCTGAGGCCCAGCAAGAGACCAGGGGGGAGTCCATTGAGCTCAAGACACAGGCCCTATAAGCCTGGAGACAAAGATTTTGGCTTTCTGACCCACCCAAATCCTGCGCCTGTCACGCCTGACTCTGCACCCTCAGATCCTGGTCCATCCTCAGCTCACACACTGTTTTTGCACACATACCTCCTCCCCCTTCCTCCACACAAGCTAAGCTAGATTTCAAACCCCTCTGCATCTGTATCTGGACCACAGTTGAAAGGGCAACCACGGCCCTGAATGTCTTATTTAGTTCCACTTCTACCCACCCATCTCTCCTCTTTACCCCCTTTGGAACACAGGACAAAGATGGAGGGTTAGAAAAGAACTGAAGGAAGCCCCCTGTGGTGTGAGGAGTCAGTTCCACATGGCTCTAACTGCTCTGGACAGGGGCTCATTGTTTCTATTTTATTTTATTTCATTTTGTTTCCTCTCTTTTTTTATTTTGCAGTCTGCTAGGAGTGAAGCTACATTAGAGCAGTGGACTTCTGCATGCTTTTCCATTTTTGATCCGGTGTGATCTTGCCGTTTGTTCCGTTTCATGAACTTTGGATAAATGACGTGTCAGTATTGTATTTTACTTCTATTTTTTTTTAGCTGTATGTGTGTGTGTTTATGCACGAGGGTGATAGTGACACAAAAGAACAAAAAAGACTGAATGAGTGCGCCTGCATGCCTGTGCACACGTGTACGCTTGTGTGCTTGTTTTAATTGATAAATTTTTTCAATTTCCAATGTCATGATGTCTGTTTTTTTTTACTTTATATACAAGGGTTTATTTTTTTTAATATGGATCCACTGCATGGTGTCATCTCTTTCTCACTAATACCACAAAAACTCAGTTTAAAAGTTCAACAAGTTTTATGTTTACAGCGATCACATTTTCCTATCAGATAAATAACTTTACAAGACTTTAGGTCTGTTTCAGACCGTTCAAACTTTATGAAGTGAAACACCCATATTATAATGAAAAAGAACAAAAGTAAACAATAATTAAAACAAAGTAGGTATTTAAAACTAATCTTTAGCTATAACTCATAGTTAGCTGTTTAAATTTGAATTGTCACTTGAATTTGTTACTTTAAAGCTTTATTGGAGTTGACTTCCTTTTTCTTTGACTTTTAACCCTTCAATTTTCACATCTGATCACAAAAACTTTAAAAATGTTTCAAAATCACACAGAAAACATAAGCAAAACGTGTGGTTTTTTTTTTTCATTTGATCGTTTAATATTTTCACAACTTATTTTTCACACACCAAGCTCATGAGAGTAACATGTAAAACAAGGAATTCATGTTGACCAAGTTTTATTCCACATGAAGTTCTTCTTTGGGAGTCTGTTCTGCTCTCTGCTGATTGGCTTTTATTGATTGAAGCAAAGTTCAGTTTGATATTTGAGAGAAAATGTACATTTTCAGTGCGTCTGTACAGGATGCTCAGTGTGCACTTTGATTTTCTTGCGGTCTACAAGAACAAACTTTGAATTTAAAGATTCGTTTTCTTCACCAGTCTTTCTTTTATGGTGAAGCTGATGTCACGTTCTACGGGATGAAGGGAAGGGCTTTCTCTGAACTAAACAGCATTTTCAGTGTGATTTTCAGGATATGTATCACGTTGAACTTAATGATGTTAAAATCCAAACTAGGGTTCTAATGTAGGCTTGATGATGTAGTGTAAAGTTTTATTTTTGTAAAACAAAATCTGATTATAGAAATTTAAAATACTGCCTTTGCAATGTCTCATCTTTGGATAATAAACTGTGGGAGTGATGCCAATCATCCACTTTGATATTAGGCATTTTCCCAGTCAAAATACTGATGAATCATTAATTTTTTTATAAAAGAAAAATCTAAAAATATCCAAATTCAAAGTACTATTTTTTGTGTTCTTTTAGGTTGTGTTTAAACCAGTCGTTCCCAGACTTTTCAGCTTTTGACAGACAAAATAGCAGCAGAGACCTGTGCCCCTGGGTGATAAACATGGATATCAGATCAAATAAACAAAGACATAGTAACAATATTAATTATGCCAACTTCATCCATTTTTAAGTACACTAACCTCACTCTTTAACAATTAAAGCAAAGAAAATGTTGTTAGTGGTCATTTTAAAAGGGGCAATATCATGTAAAATCATCTTTTTTGAGTTTTATATCATGTTATAATGTAATACTCTCATAAAAAACATGCCCAAAGCCTTGCTCTGACTCATTCATGCATGTTTGAGAAATCCTGCAGCATTTTTAGGAAGCCATGCTGAGGAGCAAAACGACAGGTGGGGACTAGAAACGCCCCTGGGATGTGTCTT